TAGCAGAAAAGTCCCTGTCCTCCTTAAACTGACATTTTGGTAAGGAGGACAGACGATAAACACACAGACAAGACAGCTGACAGTAAGAATGATACCATGAAGAGAATAAACAGGGTAATGGACTGGCAAGTAGTGATTAAAGCTGACTTCTGAGTTGATACCTGAGTTGACATAAAGGAACCAGCCATGAAGATGAGAATGAAGGGCAGTCCTGCCTGAGAACTTCCGGATCCAAGTTCTAAAGTGGGAATAAGTGCTGTGTTTCAGGTCAGTGCCATGCGGCGCACAGGGGTGAAATAAGGTCAGAGAGGTTAGCAAAGGGTCAGATTGTATGAGGTCTCATAGTCCGTAATGAGAATTTTCGAATTTATTCTACATACAATTGGAAAATATATGGGGGAGAGGGGAGATAGGTAGGGTTTAATGCCTAAACTGTGAAGATTTAAGTCAAGGGCTGATGACTGCAATTAAACCACTCCTATGATATTATGTGTTCCTTACCTATCAGAAGAAAGTGCCTTCAGATCAATCAGTTCATAAAACTCAGTATTCTAGAGCTAAGGAAAGTTTAGTGATCATCTGGTTTAACATTCTACATTTAAGAGTAGCCTCGGGGGGGCCCCTGGGTGGCTCAGTCGGTTAAGCGTCTGACTTCAGCTCAGGTCATGATCTCAGGGTTTGTTATTTTGAGCCCCGCATCAGCACAGAGCCTGCTTCAGATCCTCTGTCTCCCCCCACCTCTCTCTCTCTCAAAAAAAAGAGTGGCCTCGGTTAAAGAATTAGTGGTATGGAATCACTACCAGATTCTAGTGACATCTTTCATAAGGTTAAGACGAGAGGTAACCTGGTCATTCCCTCATTTACATTGTGGCATTTAATACTTGAAATAACCCGGTGAGGGAGACAGACAAATGAGGAAATTAAGTCTCAAAGAATTAAGAAACGTGCCCAAGATTACCCTGCTGGTGAGTACAAGAGCCCAGGTTTCAACTTCCCTTCCTTCGAAATCCACTATAGTGTGCTGCTGGAAATGATCTTACTTGCATACAAAGTAGAAACACTAATTTTGCTACAGTCAGTGTTCTATAAAGCTCAAACACACACATACGCCAAGAATGCGAATGCTTACTAACAGCAAAGGGCATCTGTCTACCAATAAAAGTATAGGTATGTTAACAGGTGTCATTTATTAGGTATTCATTACGTGTCATGGGCTGTGCTAAAGAAGTGGCTTCATTTACATCATTTCTAGCGAATAGCAATTTAAAATAAAGCAAATCCAACTACAAGGCAAGCACAGAAGGAATCCCGCTTCCTATTTAGGAAAGAAAATCACCAGCTCTGCTGTAATGTCAACACGCTGGGCCCCACGGCAACAGGCTCATTCTGAAAAGGACTCACAAACACCTTAAGGTAACTTGCGGACAAGGGCTATCGCTCTGACTCCTACTTCATCTTCCCTTTCCAGAAGATCAAGATCAAACCACCCACCCGTCTACCTACCCCCTTTTTTTTTTTTACTCTATTTACTACAGTTATGATTTATGGTTCAGTTATGGGCTTTGTCAACTTCAAATGGCACTATGATCCCCGACAGCCATGTTCTGACTCTCCTTCAGGCTCGTGAAAGAGAAACAGCATTGTCTGGGCCCCGAACAGCTGTCCAGCAGTCACGACCGCCTGTTACGGGGTCAGCAGCGGAACCAAGGATATCATGGAACTGACCTGAGTCTAACTTTTACCACACTGTAGCCAACACGATGGTTCTCACCATGCTGTCACCCCAGGGAAAGACTTCATGGAGTGAAGTACAGATCAAGGGGGGTCTCCTATATGCTCTTTAGTTATGTTTCGGAGGATATCAGCGCAATTCTGCATAAGTCACTAATCTGTGTTCCCAATCCTTATCTCTAAAATGAGAGGGTTGATGAGATCTAAAGTCCCTTGTCACTGTAAGATGCTCTGATGGTCCTGCGACCTGTGGGTAGAATCACTTCTAACTCTAGAATTTCATAATTCTTCAGCATGTCAAGTACTGACATCTTGCGTTTCTATAAACAACAAACATCAAGTTGGTCTAGGACAGAGTTTTTTCTAAGTGGTAGGTTACAGCTCATTAACAGGTAATAAAGTCAATCCAGTGGGCAGTGATCTGCATGATAAAAAAAATAAACTGAATGGAATGTACCAGAATCAAGTGTTGTAAAACCTGCTTCAGTTATATCTAAAATATATACACACCTATGAATGGTACTGGTTCCTAAGTAAAATGTGTTTCTTTCTTACTATGTTTCTTACTCTTTCTTACTATGTTCAAAATGGTTTACAACTTACTGGTCTATAAAAATCTTTAGAACTATGACCAATGTTAATATTTAAGATATATATGTATACAGGTATTATATGTATGTATATGGATACTAATTTCCGCTAAAGCCATTTCACATCTTTGAAACAATTAACAAAGGATCCTTATTCTTTTTTTTCTACTACACGAGATCTACAGCTTTCTACTTTTTTGTACTCCAGATGATTCTAACTCTTTCCCTCCTCCATCAGCCCTGGGTTGACTTGCCAACATGAAGGAACTGGCAATTCATTCCTACTTAATCCCTGGTCTTTTGACTGATGCTGCTCACAGGTGCCCCAGTAACCCAAGTTTCACAACGAGTGTCACCTAAGCTCAAGCTCTTTGGGATGAATAACCTACGTTTCAACCGGTAACCACAAGTGAATGGTGGGGGTAGGCAGAAGAGAGGTAATTAGATGCCACATTGAAACAATCTGAGTTAACTCCAGGGGAGGAGCCAAAGACTTTCCTCCTGTAGGCTCTCTCCTCTCCTTCAGCCTATAAGGCCCCCGGAGCATGGTTTTAGGACTGACAGAGCCCACCTGCAAAGTGAGAATTTTAACAGGCTTGTTTCCAAACATGTCCCATGAAAACTGAGACCAATTCGGTATGGTTGGAATGAACCTTGCCCCTCACAGCTTACAACCCGTTGGAAAGATAAGAAGCCATAAAGAAGGGTGAGTGATTGGGGGAAGCAATTAAACTTCCCGGCTAGCCAGAGCAGATGGACGGATTATTCAGATGCCGTACCTCTCTAAGAGACAATTTCATAGCCACACTTTTAATTAATAGGTGTTCCGTCACCCATCTTAGATTTTCCTCTTGTGATTATCTTCTCTGTGGTACTCATTACTACCCCGTTCTGGTGAAATGTCATTTGAAAATGAATTATCAGGGGGCGCCTGGGTGGCTTAGTCGGTTAAGGATCCGACTTCGGCTCAGGTCATGATCTCGTGGGTTTTGAGTTCAAGCCCCACATCAGGCTCTGTGCTGCTTGGGATTCTGTCTCCCTCTCTCTCTGCCCCACCCCACCTCCCCACCAAAATAAATAACGTAAAAAAATAAATAAATAATTTTTAAAAAAGAAAATGAATATCAGACATTGCTTCCAGCACACAAGAGGAAGAAAACTTTCTAACCTTAAATACTTTAGGCATCAATTCAGAAACTGGAAGATGTTCATCATTTATTGGAATCATTTCAACTATTTATTCAGTAAAAATTTCAGAGGGCTTTCTTTGTATAGCCAGTAAAGATGAGCAAGAGACAACTCCTGCTGTGGCTTGTTTTTTTGTTTTTGTTTAATTAAAAAAAAAAATTTTTTTTTTAATCCTTTTATTTATTTTTGAGAGAGAGACCGTGTGT